ATTTGTTTTGAATGATCTTGTTTACTATTTGTTTCTGAGTTTATTCTTGATTTTGAGGTATCTTTGGTTTGAGTTTTCTGATGTTCTCTGTAGACTTCCTCAGTTGTTGGGTATATATTGTAGAATGGGGGATTTATATTAGGTAGGATGGAATGTTTTTTTTTTTGGTGGGGGGGTTATTCCTCCCCACACCATATAATTCAGGGTTTCGAGTGGAGGCACACTTTATTAGTAATTAGATTATTCAGAACCGTTAGAAAAAATTGATCGGAAAAAATGAAAAAGCATAATTACTTAATTAGTGAGCACTTTTTTTTTTTTTTTTTTTTTCTCTCAAATGCGACAATTAGCGGTAATAAGTTTTGATACTTTTAGTAATTGAAGTTTTCATTAAAAAATAAAAAAAGAATAACTGACAAAAAAAATATCCTAAAGATGGGAATATTTAAACTGTTAGTGTGAGTTAAATATTTGAAATAAAGAAATGTGCTTTCTGCAGCTTTTTTTTACGCATTTTTGAGCGAGGCACGGGCGGGCTGTGATGGAGGATTTTTCATTTTAAATTCATTGATATGTGATTTCTTGACTATGAAGTATCTCTCTGCCCCCTCCCCCTCTCTCCCTGCACCTCAAATACCCTGTGACTCTCTCCCTCTCTCTCTGCGCCTCTTTTTTGCTTCAGGTGGCAAGATTTATTTTTAAGTGTATGCATCCGAACTTAGAATTGTTAATTGGAAAGCTGAGTTCCAATTACAACTGGATTCATTGTATTCACTGACATGCAATTAATCCAACCTATGTAGAACTTGTATCCCTAAACTATTATCCAAGAGATATATATATATATATATATATATATATATATATATATATATATAGCCTAAAAGATGCTGGAATCTTTTAGGTTGGGCTGCCTACACATCTTTTTTTTTTTTCTCAGTTTATGAAAGTCAAAATGATTAGAACATGTTCATGACCTCATTACTTCTGTATTTTCTCGTCTAGGTGACTTAAAAGAAAAGTATATGAAACCATCTCTTTTAGCTGCTATCCTCAAGCAATAAGAGAAAAAGCAAAGATAAAAGACATCAGAGACAAGTAAACATCTCCATCAAAGTTAAATTAATTCACAATCATTGATTTTGTAGTTGAAAGAAAAGTAAATTATTTTACGCAGTAGTAAAATACATTTTAGTAAGTATCTTTATTAAAAATATACCTTTAAGTGCCGAATCTGTGCGTCATCATTGTGGTTCTTCCATGTCACTAGAAGTTTTGGGTTTAAATAAACAAGACTTCTTCGATGGGCGACCCAACCGAATTTGATCAGTATTCGGTTCAAATCCAGAATAAAATTTGCTACTAGCTTTAGGACGTGCATTATATAAGTTCCCTCAGAAAATGGCAACTAATCAAGACTTCACTTGGGCTATTCAATGTTATAGATTGGGTATGCTTGGTTGTACTGATCTTCCTACATGCGGCCAAGACATTTTTTGGAAGAAAACAAATGTGTGTGTGTGTGTATGTATATATATATATATATATATATATATATATATATATTATTTTTTAATAAAATAAAAACGATTTATTATATTGGCTCGTACTATTCTTTCTCTTCCTCCCCTTTTAACTTCTCTATTATATCTTATTCGTTTGTTCTTTCTCTTTTATAACTTTCCTTTTTATTCTTATTTTTCTTAACTACACTTAACAAAATGTTTACAATAGAGCGATTAAAATCACTTAGACTATTTACAAAAAGAAAACTAAAATGTGGTATGAATAATTTGGGATATTGATTGATACTCTAATAAATTCCATTTAAAAACTAAGAGCAATAACATTTAACTAAAATTGCTTAAAAATAAATTAATCAAGCTATTTACATGTTAAATACTAGTTAAAAAAAAGAAAGAAAGAAAGAAAACATAACGTGTAAATTTTAGATGAAATAGGTTGCTCCCAAAAGAATTATCCTTAACGGAAGAAATTTGTTTAAAAACTAAGAAACATCATATAACCAAAATTGCCTCAATAAATTATTCAAGATATTCATTTACATATTGAATAATAGTTAAAAGAAAAACATATGTAAATCTAGCTAAAATAAGAAGGAAAAAAAAAAAATCCCCAAAGCAAACTGATTGAAAAAACGTGCAAATACGACAAAAAAAGGGTAATAACAAAAAAACAAAAAAAAATTAAAAGAAAGGGAAAGATTACGTGTAAGAATATTTTTTGTAATAAAATAAATCTACTCAAAAGACCAGTAAAACATAAAAAAATGAAGTCATTGAATATGTGACTGAATGCAACTCAATAAATTGATTCTCTGAAGCTTCTCGTCATTTATATATATATATATATATATATATATATATATATATAACTTTAACATACATTTATTTATTCACAACCACCTGGTGGCCTTTTCAACGGACTCCAGGATCATTTGAATTGCCCACCTTTTTTGTCCAGTTATCCCTAGGCTAGTAAGGGTTAGTATCATTGACTGTCTAGCAAACCCCTCTACAGCAAATCTCGACTGGGGGAATCAATGAGTATGCCACCCTTTAGTTTTGCAATCGTCTAAGAGTCCTTGATATTTACTGTAATTTCTCTCAAATGCCTCTTGCATATGCTCCTCCCATGACAGTTAACTCCAGCAAAATAATTTGTTTTGTGGCGTCTGAATAAACAATTGTCTGGATAGTTTGGAATTTCTTTTATATGTGTAGGGAATTTCAATTGTTTCCCGAGATCAACTTGCATCTGCTAATCCAACACGAACAATAACGGTGAATGGGATCCTGCAACCTTCTTACTCGGGCTTTGAACCGGCTTTAAATCGAGAGCAGAGTAAAAAGGTTCCCACACATACAAACAACCTGATACTTTGGGATCTCTGGAGTTTCTATACTGGTAGGTTTCCCTTGTCCGTGAAACCATGAAATCCTCGACCAGACATCTGGATGGCATTGGATGATCCATATAAGGCTGCACTGCTTAAGCTCCAAGGTAATCCTGACCATCTTCGGAGAAACTGCTAGCTCTCCTCTACAACGTCTCCACAGTTGAGATGGGAATGCTATATGTCTGGAGTGGCCATGATGTTCGTGGGAACACACAGTGATGGTATAGCAAGGCTTTGAAACGCCCTGGCAATCTATTTTCGCCAGCCCTGACTGAAAATCGGTGTATATAGCTTCGATAGCTGATGTGTCCTTCAGAGCATTACAAAAAGATTTCCCTAGACTTTATCGGCCAACATCGGGATGGCTCTCCCTTCTATTGTGAAATAGTGTTTTACCACCCAGCTCTTTTTTATTACCACTGATCCACATTTGTTTGGCTTGAAATTTATTCTTGCCCACTCAATCAGTCTCTCTAAACTGCGTAACAGCCATCTACAGCCTGTAACAGAATGTGTGGTGACTGTAAGATTGGCCATGTAAGCCCGGATGGGTGGTTGCCTAACTCCGGTATTGGAAACGGGGGGGCCACAGCATTCCACCTCAGCAGACTTCATGAGCATATTCATTGCAAGAGCAAAAAACGTGGCTGACCATGTACAGCCTGTAATAATTCCTGTCTCAAGTCTATGCCAGTCTGAAGAAACCAAACCGGATGAAACTCTTAGTTGGAATTGACTGTAGTAATCCAGGATAAGCTTGCAGATACTACATGGCATGTAATGTTTAACTGAAGCTTCTTCTATGAGTTTGTGGTATGGACCCATAAGCATTGGCCAAATCCAACCACGCAACAGCCAGATCCCCTTTATTCCTCCTTGCATCCCTTATTAATTGCGACAAAACTCCTATATGCTCAACACGGCCAGGCATACCAGGGATTCCACCTTTTTGTACCACTGTATCTATACAGCTATTATTTATTTTTTTTTTAAGCACAAAAGCTGATAGCCGTCTAGGAAATCACTAAAAAATACTTTTCTTTCGGTACTCAGTGACGAGATACATCGAAACTGCTCAATATTTCTTGAGTTCTCTTCTTTTGGGATCCAAACACCTGTGTATCACCATTGTGCTGCAACTTTACCTCGCTGCCAAATTACCTTAATGATCTTCCATAATTTCATGAGAAAACCTGGACAACATTTGTACATGGAGTAAGACATGCCACTCAGGCCTGGCGATGAAGCTGATCTAGCCGCTATTACTATGTTTGACCTCACTCAAACTTGGCACCCTTGTGTCAAACTCAACTTCTGGGGGGTTGAGTTTAATGAGGCATTCATTAAATTCTAATTCCTCATCCCTTCTTGGCTCCCTAAAAGAGCTCTTCAAAAAGGAATCCACCCTGTCTTTTGGGCATACTAATCTGCTGCTCCTCTTATCTGCCAGAAGTCTTCTGGCAAAACCAAATGGGTCAGAGATAAACAAAGCCCTCTTCCTGGCCTGCTCTTTCTTACAGCGATGATGTCCTTCTGCTCTTTGCAGGCTTTTCAGTTTCTGTCTTAAAATATCCCTCAGTTCTGAAAGGGTTGGTTGTCTTCTTCACAAGCGGCCTTAAATTGTTTATTGAGGGATCTTAATTCCTGCCTTACTTCTCTTATCCTTCCTTCACGCATATTCTGCATGTAGACTTTATTTCTCATCTTATCAATGTGGCTGAAACACTCTGATCTATAGCTGACAATGAGTTTACTCATAGATTGAAGTCATCAGTCTATGTTACCTGCAGATGTACCTGCAGATTATAACGCATACATCTTCATCAAAATCGTGCCAAGCTTTCTTGTTGCTTGCTGGAGGCCCATTTAATCTGCTTAGAGACTACTCTGTCTGGTTAGTCCACACTGTGTGATGCTGGGCACTGCTTTGTCACCAGGACCTGCTCCACCTCCGTTTTACTTGGCGTAACACCTATGCGTTGTGTGTTCTCAGCCACTACTGCACATTTCATTTTGGCCTGGTGTATTTTTAGGCCATGCTGATTCCTGCATGTTTTTCCACAGCAGCATATTGAGTCAGAATTCCTTTGGGCATTTGCTGTGGTGGTAACTGTCTTTCTCTCTCTATCTCTCTCTCTCTCTCTATCTCTCTCTCTCTCTCCCATCTCTCTCTCTCTCCCTCATCTCTCTCTCTCTATCTCTCCATCTCTCTCTCTATCTCTCCATCTCTCTCTCTATCTCTCCATCTCTATCTCTCCATCTCTCTCTCTATCTCTCTATCTCTATCTCTCCATCTCTCTCTCTATCTATCTCTCTCTCTCTATCTCTCTATCTCTCTCTATCTATCTCTCTCTATCTCTCTCTATATCTCTCTCTATATATCTCTATATATCTATATCTATCTCTCTATATATATCTCTCTATATCTCTCTATATATCTCTCTCTATCTCTCTCTATATCTCTCTCTCTCTCTAAATATCTCTCTCAATCTTCTCTCTCTATCTCTCTTACATCTCTCTCTCTCTATATCTCTCTCTCTATCTCTCTATCTCTCTCTCTCTCTCTCTCTCTCTCTCTCTATCTATCTCTCTCTATCTATCTCTCTCTCTCTCTCTCTATCTATCTCTCTCTATCTATCTCTCTCTATCTATCTCTCTCTATCTATCTCTCTCTCTCTATATATCTCTCTATATCTATCTCTCTATATATCTCTCTATCTATATATATATATCTCTACATCTCTCTCTCTCTCTCTCTCTACGGCATACATACATAATTTGAGCTTAATTAATGGTCATCATAACCAACCAGAATTTAATAGAAAATCTGCAGAAATAGTAGTCTGGCTGGAACTCAAAACACCCTTGCAAAGTCCATTAGTGCCAGAATTGGCCTGTGTTTAGGTTTTTTGGGGGGGTATCCTGGCATAATTAACAGCTCAGGATTGGTAGTTTTAGGAATAGCCACTGTTTACTTGAGCACTTGTCATGTACACACATGGATTGTCTTGTACACACCTTCTCCTTCCCTCCCCCCCTCTTTATTTTAATTTATTTCTATATAGTAACTTAAGAATAAAGTACACATACATTGTGACGTGTGATGAAAGCAGATAGCCTAAACACACATATTAGGGTTAATTTCTGCCTTGCAACAGAATAAAGGTCACATGGGAGTCTTATGACATTTTGGGAAGGCAGGTCAAAAGGTTGACTGACCCAATTACCCGTAGCGACAAATGTCTAGACAGAAGCTAGACTGGACGGATGTAAGCTAGAATTCGTGCCAAAACTTAAGACACGTGACAGTCAGATTCACTCGAGAATCAGTTGCTATCTTGACTTGGAAGAGTCAAGACCTGAAGCCGAAGCGCTGATAGTTTATGAACAGAAAGATAAGACACATTTGATAGTGATGGAACTTATCCAGTTCAACCCAGGCATCTCCGGACAAGAAATATAAGGAGTATTCCTGTTCGATAACCCCAAATCGAAGACGCAGAGAGGAAGAAAGTATATACCTCTGTTACAAGTCGAATTGTGTAAAGAAAGAAAAAGGAAAACCAGAGAAGAAAGTGTTTACCTCTGTTATAAGCTGAATTGTGTAAAGAAGGAAAGAAAGAAGAAAGCCAAAGAGAGGAAGAAAGTGTACATCCCTGTTGCAGTAAGTCTGGTTTGGAAACCGAGCTGTCTACAGAAGGAAAGAAAAAGGCAAAACAAAGAGAGGAAGAAAGTGTACACCTCTGTTACAGCCGGACAGTGTGTGAAATTGTGTTTGTGTCGAAAAGAAAGGACATTGATATAAAAAAAGGGAACTGAATATGAAAGATAAGTAATCATATTTTGAACCCGTAGTAGAAAGATATACATACATCCATGAATATTATGTTTTTGCAAACACCTTTCCACATGTAAAACAATAATTGTAACTCCTATCCCATCTCTTTTGTGTGTGCGTTGGCTTCTGCATTCAATTCATAGTAATTCATACTTATATTTTTGTATGTTCGGGTTCAGTTGAATCAATTTGGTGTTGGGCAAATTTTGATATCCCAACGTAAGTTTGAGATCTAGTCATCGGATGTTTTAACTCATACTTATCTTTTCTTTTATTTTGATATTTGTATATTTGTACATATTAAAATTCTTGTATCAAAAATCGCTAAGCATTATAGTTCATCCTTCTATTGTGGATCAGTATTCGAGTTGAAAACTAAGCAAACCTGGGAAAGATTACTGTTCGATTATTCCAATTGAACAGTGGTCTTTAAAATATTTTTGTTTACCAATTGTACATTCTCACGATCTGAGAGAGATAGCTTGTATCTCTCCACAGGTGTGAGAATGTATATATCTCCTAGTCGGCGTATGATCGCCCTATAAACCCATTCGTCGACTGGGGCATATGACAACATATATACTGTATTTACATTTATTTACAATAATTTTGTACCGTACTGGATGTTTTTAGGCCACAGAAAAAAGTGCTTCAAATTAAACTATTTTGATGGATGACCCTCCCCCACTATTAGTCTGTTAAATTGAGGTTCCACTATACTGTGTCCATGTTAATGTGTATCTGTGTAAACTACATTTGTCTAAATTGTTACCATAAGTTACAAGTTTGACAAAATGTAAACAGGAATAATGACAATAGAAAATGTGCCTTTGGTGTGTCTTAGGATAGAAAATGTGCCTTTGGTGTGTCTTAGGATAGAAAATGTGGGGGTGGAGGGAAATGGCAACCCTGTCCCCTTTTATTTTTGTATTTCTATGAGTATTTTGCCAGATGTCATTTGCAGAAAAATGCCCCAGAACCTTCTCTACTGTGCTGTCAAATATGAATGATGATTTATTTCCAGTGAAACTGCATGTTATTTTTGTGTCTGTTTCAAAAAATATCAGTGATGAACTGTTGCTTCCTTTCTTTGCAGTTCTTTTTAGATGATCATTGAATTTAAGATTTGGTAAAGAAGAGCAAAGATAATTACATTTTCCAAACTTGTCACTTGTCAAACCCAAACATGCACAAAGATTAAGTGTGGATTTCTGGCAGATGGGACTATGCAAAATTTATCCAAAAAGGAAATGTCTTACAACAAAGACAATGTTCATCACCATCATTGAGAAGCTTCTGGCAAAGTCTCTATTTAGATAACCTCTTGTAAGATCACTTGCGTGGCTGAACCTTCGATCCATTTGTGAAAAAAATTTATCATAAAAGACAGTCTAAAAAGATGTTTTTCCCACATGATGGACAGAAAACAAGTCAGCAAGTCTGATTGTGATGACATCATCAGTCTGTATAACATGACACAACTTGGTTGATCCTAGGTCAATCTGGTCAACAGTGACCCTTGCCACACACTGCCTATACCAGGAGATGTCTTGGTCCTCAGTGGTAGGACAAGTTGATTGCAGAGTCGGTCCCACACTGACTGATGCTGTCCACACCGTGCTCCACCCATTCTATTTCTTGATCACAGAGGTGGTAGGATTTGAATCTTCATAGTGCTGATTTGAACCATGGCAAAGCTATGTTATGATGGGGGGAAAAAATAGAAATGTCTTTGCAGACGAAATAAAAAATGAAAAAATTCTTCAGGTTAATTTTTGATTTGGTTCATGTAGTTGTGTATAATAAAAATTAACCCATCACACTAAGATCTAGGACCTTCTCAGCAGCAAGTCATATGGATCTCAGTAGCACCTTTGTCTGCCCTTCACCAGTGTCTCTCTTCTCTCTGCCTGGGCTGCTTAAGGACTCTGCTTACATTGACTTTGACTCAAGACTGGGGTGGGGCTGACAGTATTTGGGAATTAGACAGTTCCCCAGGTTTCTGTATCAATTTGGACAAGAGGTCTTTGTTGTCTGGTCCATAACCTTGATTATTGCTCCAAATTTGGGAGATCCTTCTTCCAGGTAGTGGTTGCATGTATAACTCATTCCTTCTCTTATTTATGCCTTTTAACATTACTTCCAAATGGATGGAGGTAAGTTATCTGTCTCTTAGCCAAGGTAACAGGCTTTTTAAACTGCATAAGCGAAAAGGTGGTCTTAACTTTTAGTAATTAATTGTTAATTTTCAACAACATTTTTCTCAGACTCTGGTCTTGTTTATACAGATTTACCAGCTGTTTCCTTTGACCTGCTAATTACAAGTACTTGTCTTCATATCTTGTTCACTTAATTGTATTTATGAACATTACAAGTTTGTTTTATTTTTTGTTTTGTTTTTTTTCTCAAAAAATCCTATTTCAATTTATTTACATTTCTACTCTTTGACAAAAATCAGTTTCTTGATTCTACCTTAGTCTTCAAAATTGCTAAATATAACCCCTTCTTCTGCCTGCCAATCATGACATGTTTCTGTAACTTCCATTTTAGTAAGTGAACATAAATCAATTTCTCCATTTAGGCTTTGTTTCCAAAATTCTCACCTGACTTCAAATGTATTTTTACTATTCCTTCTTAGCCCTCGTGGTCTGAAGTCTTCCACATGGCCCGTTGATAATCTTTTTGCAAAACCAAAAAAGTCATTCTTTTCAGGTCTCTTTTCTTCCTTTGTTTGTTATTGTGTAATTTTAACCCTTTTCATTTGTTCCAGTTCATATTCTAAATTAACCTTTTCTTTTTACCAATGTGCCACAGTGTCACACAGTAAAGAGTTAGAAGAGGAGACTGCTTTTCTTTGAAGATTTCATCTGTCGAACTATTAAAAGATAAATCAGTTTTTGTTTTTTTAATTGATGACCATTCACTTTGTGTGTGTGTCAGTTTCAGTTCTTAACAGCCCTGGAATTTATTTTTCCCACAGATCTGTGGGAACTGTACAACACTACATAAAAACATCCACCTCCATGTTAAAAACAGAGAAAGCTTTTCTGCTATAAGTCAAATTAAAAGTAATGTTTTCATTTTGATTAATTTTAAATCAATTACTTTTCCTTAAAGTTTCAGAAAAGTATTAATTTTGAAAGTTTTTTTTTTTTTTTTTTATTGTATAAAGAGAATTAAATATTTGTCAATATGGGTTATTTTAGGAATCTTAAGATGTATTTTAAATCTTAGGTATTGCTCCCTTTTATTTTATTTATTTTTAAATAATTTCTATGAATTTTCTTAGCATAGACCAAACTAGAAAATAAACTGTTCCTTGTTTTTTTGAAATTCTGTAAGATTAACTTTTGGTTTAAAATCTTTGAAAACTACCACATTTAAAAATCTATTTATTTTATGTGAAATCCTGTTGCATTGTAGGTTATGGGTAATTAAAAAGGTGTACTAATTGTCATTACTAAATAGATATTGATTGTATGAATAAGGTACTTTGTTTTTTTTTGGGGGGGGTTAATTTAAACCTTTTTACACTTGTCTTTTTATCTATAGTGATTGGTTTACATATTAAAGGTTATTTGTAAAACTGAAAAAGGCTACTAATTTTTTTTTTTTCCCTTTTAAGGAATGAACGCAAGAATTTTGTTCCCATGGTAAGTAATTTGAATTGTTGTCTTTAAAAGTGTTAAATTTGCTTAAATAATTGAAAAAATTTGACTTGTAGAAGCAAAATATTCAGTCTTTGCAGCAGATCAGAAGTTCCCTTGCTTAGAATTTGAAGACTTTTTGCTATAACTGTAACCCTTTCCCCAAGTCAAAGGTGGGGTGTTACAAGAGGATGAATGGTGATAATGTTTATTGAAAAGGAGGTTGAATGACTAGGCAAGTTTTAGTAGTTTATCTTTCATAAATGTTGAAGGTAGGAATATTATGTCACAAAATGACACTCATCAAATTGAGTACTGTTCAAGTTTGCAATGTAACATTTCAATATTGTTCCATCAAATGCTTAACATTCTAAAGTATTTGATTTTTTTTTTTTTTTTTTTTTTTTTCTCTCTAGCTACTATTCAGTGAAATCATCACAAATGCCAAAATTAGGTGTATTTAACTGTTGAAAATGGCTAAATACTGGTAATGTCAATGTCCTTTGTCAAATATGTGAAATCAGATTTTTATTTTACAAAAATGTAAACAGTGTGTGTGTGTGTGTGTGTGTGTGTGTGCATTTACTTTTTGGCATTTGTCACAACTCTGAAAATGTTTGTCTCTTATACAGCTAAATACCTTTTCTTTTTTTTTTTTTTTCTTTTTTTTATATAGGAGGGTGGGGTCTAACTTTTAGCTTCTGTCAACTTTATATTTCTGAGGATGAAGCTGCTGCTCTAATTGCTGGCTGTACCAATAGGATTGTTCTAATGTACAATTTGATTTCAAAACTTTATTAAATTTTGAACATCATTTCTGTTCTCTTAAAGTGAAATACTTTTTATGAGAATTCATAAAAAGTATTTCACTTTAAGAGAACAGAATCTGTAATAAAATTGTTCAAATTTACACAAATATGCATTTTTTTGTAACTTTAGCACAAGTTATTTTGTATATGTATCCATAATTTGAAAATTATTTGCAACAAATATTAGATAGACTACAGAAAGCATATTTCTTAATATCCTTTCCTTAAACTTTGGTAAGATTATGGATTTGGTGATCAAAATCATTCCTTTTGTTAGAAATCTTAGTAATTTTACTTGTAAGTAAAGGTTTTTATTTCTTTCTTTTTTGTTTTTTCTTTTTTTTTAATTACTTTGTGAAAAAATTTTTTGAATTAGATGATATTGGTAGTGAAAAAAAATAACTTCAGAAGTATATATATATTTTTTCTTTTTTTTACTTTTTAATTTCTTTTTAAATTAAAGTTGCACCCTTTTTGCAGCTCCCAAACCACTGCAAGTTGGCTATTGACAACATTGCATCTCCTCTCTGTATTAATCAAAGTTGTTTACCCAATGATGCCGCAGAAGAGACATCAAATGATTACATGTGCTTGCAATCAGAACAAGAAGATGGTAATTCCCAGGACAGTGGACTTGGGTTGGAAAAAGATAAAGTAAGAACTTTTTTTTTTTTTTTTTTTTTCTCCCTCCTCAACTAATCTTTGGTAATTTAAATATTACTATTACCTGAGATAGTTTTTCATAATTTTTTTTTCATAACTTGCTACAGTTACTTTTCATGAAGACCCAATTTTCTCCATAGAAACAGAGAAGTATTTCGGCATTCATTTTAATGAAATTTCATTTCTTCAGAAAATGTAGTTTATATCCAAACTTCTCTTTTGTATAGTGAAAATGATCTATCAAACATACCATATTTTTTTTCTTTTTTTCTTTCTTCTAAACTTGAAATCTTTTTTTTTTTTTTTTTTTTTTTTTGTTTGTTTTTTTTTTTTTTTTTTTAAATCAAAGTATACTTTCTTCAAAATATTTTTCTTTTTGTAAACCAGGTATTAGGCTAGAATATTGTTGCTATTAGTTTAGTGTCTGTATCATTCTACGTGAATAAAAAAAAATCTTAGCACTTGCTAATTTTTGCTAGTAGCAGTTTTTTGCATTTAGTGGGTACATCGGCAATTCTTAAATCTATAATTGTAATTTGAATTTCACTTGTAGGATATCTCAAAGGGGTTAATATTAAATGCTCAATTAGCTGTACAATTAATTTGAATGTGTTTTTTTTTTTTTTTTTTTTTTATTCATTTTCAAAATACTCTGAACTAACAAGTTCCTTGTGAAATCATTTTTAAATCTTACATTTGGGATATGGGGTTTCTCTAAGGATGCATAAACAGTAACTTGTTCATATTAGGTAAGTAAATGTAAATGTTATTAACTGGGTGGTTTTGGCAGATTCATTATACACAATAGTTGAGGAAATCAACCCTTTTGTAAAATTCAGAATTTCTGTATAAATTATAGAAAATATATTTTTCTAGAGTTGTAAAAATAGTGTGACTTTTTTTTTTTTTCTATAAAGAAACTTTTAATGCTTTTTTTTTTCTTCTTCCTCTCCAAAATTTTTGGTGGTAGTGTGGTGGGCTTGTCTTCTCTTCTCACTTGCTGCCACTTTTCTCCAACAGGACTCATTTCAGTTTCTGCCACCTGTGGGCATGCCCCCACGCAAAGTCAAAATATTTGATGAGGATACATGTGAGCCCATAAAATATTCTCCATGCAAATCTCAACGATCCTTCTCTGCATCTCTAATAGACAAAGAGGTATGAAGGACATTTTGATATGCTACTTGTTTTTCTCTACTTCCTATTATCAAATGAAACAGTTACTGCTTGTCACCGATCACACTTTATTGTTCATGATTTCTTGTTGGTTTTATATTAACTTTCATCTTGACTCTGAGTGTTTTGTGTGTGAAAGAGAGCAAGAAATACACATAAAAAATTTAATCATAAAAACCTTAATTCGGATCTAGGAATTCTGAAATCTTATTCTATAACAAATCTTAAGACAACAAAAATTAAATGGTTATTTTCTGTCTGAATTTCTGAAATGAGCAGTTATTGTTTACAGGGACTGATATCCTCATCCTTTTTATTATCACAACGTTTTGGTCATCGTGCCTTCTGGGTAACTTTCACAGAATTTTTTAATTATTTAATCTTTGAGAGTAGATTACTCTCATTTTGCTATCCATGTCTAGGATATCTTATTCTATTTTAATACTGCTTGGTTATTTTTAGCCCTGTTTTCATTGCCTGGCCAAGGGATTGAACTCACTGTGCCATCAATTCATGAACCAATACTTTAATCCAATACTCTAGCCTATTGTCTTGTAACCTAGCTTGAACTTGGAGGTTTAGACTTAATGTTATTACTTGCTGTTACATTTGACTTCCTTTGCTACCACTTTTTTTTTTTTTTTTTTTTTTTTTTTTTTTTTTTTTTTTTTTTTTAACTGTAGCTCTTGTAATTGTCTGTTCTTTATTAATGGCTCCCATATTATAGTTATGTCTATGCTAGGCTTGATGTGGTGGTTGTCATAGGCCTGTAAATGAGCTGATACCTTTTAGATGACTTTCAAGTGTTCTTTTGTCTAGTATACTTACTTTTTGGTATTCTTCCCGGCTTATGTTAGGAAGCTGCTGGTTTGCCAAAACTTCAGAGGGTGGAATATGTAGAGTTCTTGGTCACGTTCTCTGTTAAGCTTGATTTAGCAGATTTATCTAAATTTTAGCTGCTTCTGAATGTTCTCTTTTTGGCATGTGCCTGGGTCTTTTTTTTTTTTTTTTTTTTTGTTGTTGTTGTAATATCAAACAATCCTTTTATGCACTATGGCGAGAACTGAAATTAATCAGTTGTCCAGTGTAAGTTGGCTTGAATCCATTCGGTGTGAGTTATTACTACATCCAGGAAGGGTGGGTGATTTTCATTTTCCATTCTGAATTAGATTGAAGGTCTTACCAAGTTCATATGGCCCAGCAACATTTGTATAGCTTTCTGGTGAGGCCAAGGTATGAAGGCATCATCTACGTATGTTTGCCATCACTGGTGATAATGGCAAACCAATAGCCAATCCTTTTCCCCTCCTGGTATATATCAGATTCTAATGGGAAGAATTTTGTCTTTATACAAAATGTCAACATTTTCATCTGGTTATCTGTCTGGATACTTGTATGTACTTAAAGGGAGGGATCTAGTTTCAAACTGTTTAACCACCAACAGAGCTTCATTTGTAAGGAGGCCTGGTGAATGGGTTCAATATATCCAAAGTTACCATCTGCTTGTTTTGGATGGGAGCAACTTGAATTGATTCCACAAAGTATTTTGAGTTCTTAGCATATGATGATTACTTTCTTGGGGCTGGATTATATCTAGCAAGAATCTGCAGCAGGCAAGCTGAGCCGCACTGAGTTGACTATAGATCTCGAATCTATACTTGGATCAACAAATACTTGGAAGTCACAATGGTTAAAACATTGACAACCACAATGATCAGAACATTAAATGGTTGCTTTGAAAGGGGGGGGGGCTTGTGTGTGTGCACATACACACACACACACACACACACTAATCCCCACCAATATTATTTTACAAAACTTATTCTTTCTTAGCAAAGTTTCTAGTCTGTGATTTTGGGAATTTAAACTTGTTATTCTTCCCCTTTGAGAATTCTGTAAAAACTGGAATAAGTAGTAAGCCAAAATGTTCAATCTGCTGAATATATGGGTAAGTGAAAACTTTAGTCAAACTGTCAGTTTTGCTGAGTTACTAACAAAACACGCAGTTTGGCATTATCCTTATAGAATATTACACTTCTTAGTTAACTAATTCCATTTCTCATCAATTGCTGCCATTTAATTTGGGACAGTAATTTTAGTCCTTTAGTTCTCTGGAAGTAGTTCATGGATTTGCTTCCATTCCTGCTGTATATACTGAATCATCAGGTTTTGGTAGTTTGTGGTTGTTCATTTCATTTTACCCTCAAGTATCTACCTTTCATTTCATCACAACTTTTTTAAAAGTAAAAAAGACATAATCAAAGATACAAGTTTTTTTTTTTTTTTTTTTTTTTTGTCTCCCCCACCCTCAACTCCATTTGTGCTTTATTATATAACCAAGTGGTTGCAAATAATTTTCAACGTTAAATTTGGATATTGTGTGTTGCCATTTCGTATAATTTTAATTATTTCTCTCAACTTATCTGTGGCTTGAGGAAATTAGTCATAGTTCCTTTCCCATACACTGCACAAATCTTTATGCATTTGAATGTTTTACATTAAAAAGCATATGCCAAAAATATTGCTTATTTTCTTCAGGCTTCAATAAACAAAAATAAGTAATTTTTATCTTTATACATATACAAGATGATATGACAGCTATCACAATGCAATCAAAAACATTTTCTTTTTTTTTTTTTTTTTCCACGTCTTTTCTTTTCTTTTTTCTCTCCAACCCCCCTGCCACATCTTTTTTTTTCCTCCACAAATTAAGCCTTGATATGCTGCTTAAACTAATTTTTTTTCTTTTTTAGAAAGTTAAATTTCACTTAGGATCACTTATTGTAGATGGGAAAATTACGTTAACTGCAAAAACAAATTAAATCCTAACCCTGCAAGCCCAGTATAATAAAATTTTTGCTTGTTTTTACAGACCAAAAATTAAACTTAATTTTCAGAACTTTTTTCTTTCCCTCAATCACAGGAAATTGAATTCTTACAAAGTGATCACAGTCCTAACAAACCAACCCAAGGCACATTTACTGGGGAGCCAGCTGATGATGGCTTTTCAGATCATCTAGAATCCATGGATATGCCAGAGGTAAATAAAATTAAAAAAAAAAAAAAAAAAAAAATTTCTTTAGTTGTATTAAGTCACAAAATATGAATGTGTAAGCTGATCATTAGGTTAATTATTAGGTTAAGTGACATAAGTATGTACTGAATTCATATCTATTTAATTTCTTTATTTCTTGGAAAGTTAGCAAGAAATGTGAAGCAATCAAAAAGGTTGTGTATGGGTAAAAGAGGAAATGTCTATTATTCAAGCTATTTTCATAGCTTTATAAAAGTATTATAGATTTGTCAGTTCATTTAAGTACTTTCCTGAAAAACTGACTCCCATTTGTAGAACATGAAATTGGCAAAAACTGTTAAAGAAAATATATGTAAGTTAATGAGTTCCCTCTTAAGTTGTATCATTTTGAAGGTTATTTCACTTAATGCTTTTTGTTTTTAAAAACTTCTCAAAGAATATTTCAGTTGAAGGTTGAAAATTTATGTATATTTGATTGAATTATAAGTAAGTTGCTCTACTTTTAAACTGGAAAGGCAAAAGTATAATACTTTTTTCAAAATGGCGATAAAATTATCTAAGCATTAATTACTTCTGGTCTGTTTGATATTGACTTAGCAATCTATCTGGTTGCATCTATCAACAAAATAGTAGTTAAAATGTAATGTTCAAAACAGCTGCTAGTGTAAAAATAGACAAATATTCAAGATGACTTTGTAAAAATTGGCAAAATCTATAAATATTTTTCTCTCTACTTCAAATTTTGTTTATTGGAATATTCCAGATTTTCAGTGAAGAATCTGATTAAACTCCAGAGTAACTGCAAATGGAGATATTAATTCCAATTTGTTCATTTGCAAACACCTTCAACTAAAATTAGATGCTGCCTTTTATCTCTGCAAGCAAAAATCTCCGGTTTAATCTTCAATTTTGTGTCCCCAAAATCTCAGGAGGCAGGGTATACACACTACAAGATTTGACCAGTAATAGTTTTTTTTTTTTCTCTATTTTCTTGTCTCAAAACTTAACAATTGAGGTTATTAATACAGTTCTGGGAGAATTGTCATCATGCACTACTATAGCACACCATTTATTGATTCAGTTATTAACTGTGGTATTGTAAAAATGGTAAATTACACAAATATTTAAGATATAAGCTTCATTTTCAACATTTAAAATATAACTATTGGTTATTTTCTCTGCAATTTTCAATACTCGAGTGTCTATAAATACTTGAGCCTCTAAAGATGCTTAAATGAATGAATATTTATAAGTATTCACTTTTCTATTAAATGTTTTTGAATTTACTTTTTCTTTTTTTTTTTTTTTTTTTTTTTTTTTTTTTTAAATTGTACAAATTTAAGATTTTCTTGATTTGTAAATGAAAGCAAACTCTATTTGAGTTGACATTTTAAAAAAAAAAAATCAATCCTAGCAGTTAAGTATTGCATATGTGTAATGTCAGCATATTCTTTTAATACTGCATGGGGGGGGTGTGGCTCTTTCTATTTTCTTCCTTCCTTTTATTTGTCCGTTTTTTTTATTCTTAAGTCAGTATGTTATAGGTAAAACAGTTACCTTCTAAAATTGAGCTTCTCTTTCTAGAGCTCTGCTGATATGTCAGATGGTATAAAGAGCTTAATGGAGGCTCCTCTTAGCTGTGCCCCTGTGGAAAGGACAGACATAATGTGTGATAACGTCAGGTCATCCATGGACGACACTCCAACTGTAAGTAGATTTTTAATGTTTTTAGCATAAAAATGGAATTTTAACTTTAAATATGTCATTAATCTGAGATTTTCATTTAAAATTCCTACAAAATAACTTTATGGCTTCAGAGCTGATTTGTTTCTCTCATATATATATATATATATATATATATATATATCTGTCTGTGTGTGTGTTTTAAATGATGATCTCTCACCTTACCAATTAATCTGAAAGCTAAATTGTCATTCTTTTCTTTCATTGTTTATTTGCTTTTTATAACAATTCAGTTTCATCTTCTCACTAGTAAATAAGATCAGAAATAAAGAATAGCTTTTGGAGACTTGAATTTAAATTCCTTTTCCCTTGGCAGGCTGTACTATGAAAGGTCACTGTTACAGAAAAACCAAATGTATAGCTTTATTGCTTTTTTTTTTCCTTGAACAGGAAAAAATTCATTAGTGATGTATTTTTTCCTCTTCATATTCCTGTCACTAATATAAGGAATACTGAAACATTCTTGGCACTTTTTTTTTTTTTTTTTTTCTTTCTTTCTTAAATATTCATATAAACTTGGCACATTATTTCTAAAGTTTCTTTAATCCTTGCTCTGCAACTGATATTCTCAAATCATTAAAAAAAAAAAAAACTCCCTTTTGAAGCCTAAGTTTTGAAAACTGAAAAAAAAGATGGAAGATCAGGGGAGTAGGGCAGATGATCAGTGTACTCAAATCCTAAATTCTTCAAAACATCCATTGTTTTGCCAGCTCTGAACAGATGCATTGTGCTGTAAAAAGCTTTTCTACAGCTTCCTTTACTGTTTTTTAACCTTTTTAATCAACAACAACAAATTAAAGTATATTTCTGCATTAACTGTTTCCATCCTTATGAATATATCAAAATACCTTCCTTATCCTTTAACTTTCCTGTTGACTTTGTCTTAATTCTTCAGATTTGAGAATCTTGTCTGCCACTATTGTTTAGACTTTGATTTCTGGATCAGCCATGTAACAATGTTTCAACAACTTGCATCTTTTCAAAAATATCACTAAATCACTGAAAATGCTACAAAATCAACTTTAAGTTAGACATTCTATATCTTTTATGTTGGCATGCATATATTTTTGCTACTGACAACGTCAATTATAAATCCAACTTGCCCCTGGATCAATCTTGGTAATTCTTTTAGCAAAGACTTCTTGCTCAACCAAACTTAAGTCTTGTACATATCAACAATTGTGAGAGTTGACACCATTAAAGGCCTCCCAGATCTTGCAACTTTGGCTTAAAAATTGGCAAACCACTTCAGTTAAGTATGTGCACTTGTCTTTCAAAGTTTGTGTTATAAACTTATGGTTTTCTTTAACTTTTTTCTGCAGTCACAAGAAATTCATGTTATTTGGCAAATTTTTTTTTTTTTTTTTTTTTTTTTTTTTATACAGTATAAGATATTTCAGCTACCATGACAAAATAACTTAGATTTTTGAATGTGAATTTGATTAAGCATTTTTTTTAATTTCTGTTCATCCAGTATGATTTCCATTGCTTTTTATTGCCACCACTTGAAAAGAGATACTATTGAAAACTTGGATAATGCTTCATTTTAATAATAAATTTAAAAATATTATTACTAATGCTTCTTGACAATTTCATGTTGAATACTTATGCTTTTCTATCATGAGCTTATATGGAAGTGTGAAAACCAGTTATGTGTGCTATAATTTTTTCCATTTTGCTTTCAACCTTTTTTTCTTCCTAAAGAAACTTAGTATTCTTATAAAAATGATAATTTAACTTTAATAATTTAATTTTTACTTGTAACTGCTCAATGCTAGCAGACCATTGACACCATGGTTATTAGATAAATCTTATACATGAAGGGAAACTAAAAAGTACTTTTCCTTAAATCTTTAAAAAAAAAAAAAAATGTATATTTGAGATTGAGAAGTGGGTCAGAGGTCAAACATTGTTTTTCTAGGCAATCCCTTAACAAAAATATGTATCTGATCTTAAGATCAGTCTTCAGTTGATAATGAGGCACTTATTGACTAAAAAATTAAGCTCTTAACGTCTGGTTTCTTTTTCCAGGCAATGCGTAAAGGTATGAACCGTTCTCAGTCTTTTGACATTCGTCGGAGATCCTCTTCAAAGAGAGATCGAATAAGTGATGAAAACACACCCATACTGTCTAAGCGTAGAAAGCCATTCTTCAATAAAGCACCATCACAAATTGATGTAAGTATTTTTATTTCTTCTTTTAAAGATCATGACACATAGTGATGGATTTATATAAAATCCAATTTGATTTTAGTTTCATCAGTTAACATCTTTTTGAAAACTTTTGAAGTTAATATTTATGCAAACAACTTTGACACTGAATTTTAATAACATTATTAGACTTTTATCACTTGAATTAATAACTCTTTTTACTGGTATAAATTTGAGATGACTCTTCCTTTTTGTAGAGAACAACGTTTTTTTGTATTGAATTTTTCTCCAGTTATTTGAATTTCCTATCCAGAGTTTGGACATAATTTTAGTAAAGTGGAGATCCTAAGTGTTGGCTTGAAAACATTGATTTATTATTTTGAGATAATAATTTGAATGGTACTTGATGAATGGCACTTAATGCATCTACTGTTAAAAGGCCTTGAAGTTATTTTTGGTTTCCTTAGATCCAGTGATGTTCTGCTTGGTACCAATATATAAATGAAATGTGATACCCACCCCCTCCCCTAAATTTCTAGATTCTGATAGTAGGATTGAATGCCATAATACAGAAGAAATAATGATGCAAATTAACTGATTTTGTTTTTCTTTTCCTCTATATGCAGGTTGCTCCTATTGTACGGTACCAAAGAAGTCATTCTGAAACTGAGGCTCAAATCAAATCTGCAGTGCACAAAATTATCCAAAATCCTCATTTGATTGGAGATGGTTCAAAGGTACATGCCTCAATTTTGATTCTTGTTTTTAGAATTAGTACTTGCTTTTCTGTGTGTGTGTGAACATTGAAGTCAACACCTAGAGGTGACAGGCTGTTTCATGCTAGATACAATCATCAGGCCACAAGTTTTTTTTTTTCTTGGCTATTTATATATACGGGTCAGTGGTGCATTGTGGGTAGTCTATTTTGGCGGTTATTTTGCTGGAAGTCGTTTGTTTATTTATTTGGATTAGATTATTTTGCTTGTTTTTATTTATCTTATACTTATTTTTATTTTAATCTGTTTTATTAACATAGTAAAAATGTGTTTGTATCACTTATTTAATAGTTTTGTTTTGGTTCAGGAAGATAAAGCTATTTATTCAATTTTGGGGTTGATTGCTGTAGTTTATTCTAATTATTATTTTGGCTCCAGCAATCAACCCCGAATTGAATAAATAGCTTTATCTTCCCAGACTAAAACAAAACTACTAAATAAGCAATACAAACAAATTTTTACTATGTTAATAAAACACCAATTAAAATAAATATAAGATAAGAAATAAAAATAAAATATAAAAATAAAGACAAACAAATAAACAACTTCCAGCAAAATAACTGCCAAAAATAGACTACCCACAATGCACCACTGACCCATATAAATTTATTTCAATTTACAAATTCATGAATTATTCCTGCAAAGGTTAATGATTTAATTGGCGAGAAATCCATTGTCGCAAACAATTCAAATAATATACAAAAACCTCCGAACCTGTTATGAATGAAAAGATCCTTGTTTCTATAAATTTCTGCTGCATTAGTTCTTATTTTTACTACAAGCTTTCGTTTGTTCCTACAGACATCTTCAGGTATGGAATAGATGTTATTCTATATTTAAATTTACCAGTAAAAAAAAATCGCTTATCACCATATTTGTACAAGAACGCACAACTGTAAAATTTAAAATCAAACTCAGCGTTGCTACTGCACGCTCCAAAAACAATAACTCATTTCCAATAGCATTTTTCGGATACAACAATACATATATTTTCGTTGTCCTCTTATTACTGAGAGAAAAAACAAGAACAACATCTATTCCATATATATAATCCATATTCTTATTGTTCTAACTCCAACTTAAGATACAAATCTTAAGTTGCATCTTGTTTCTCATGCATTTTTAGATACATGAATCAACACTGGATGATGACGCATGCTACACATACAAATTTACTCAAATTTGTAGCACAAGTCCACAAGTATGAACCATCCAATGATGGTAGAACTTTCTTTGGTAATGATCTCCAAGAATTTGCTGTTACTGTGATCACACATGCACACACACATCTAAGATATTTATCAGACTCTATAAATTTCTAATTAAATATTCTTCTAATTCCAGCCTTACTGCCTCCCAACAATTCCTGGAAAGCATAAAGATCTGAAATCTATTACCCCAGACACAGTAAGTAATAATAATAATAATAATAATAATAAAAAAATACTAAGTAAATAGTTTTACCTTCAGGAGAACCAGATTGTTTAAAACCATTACAATTTTTATTTTCACAGTGCAATTCCTCAACAATATTGTACAAATTATATTTATAATAGCTTATATTTACAATCAGATATTTTTTTAACTATTTCTTGCATTAAATTTAATTTTAGAACAATTTGTAAAAGACTTAATATTTTCAATAAGTTTCATGTTGAAAGATTTGCTTTAACATAAGTATTTGTCACTATTCTTGGTGGATATTAAGAGAAATCGCTTCTGTAAAATGTAATTTTCTGAATTTATCTCTGTCATGCCCTCCAGAAACTATTATCTAGTGCTCCAAATTGCTCCCTTCTGCAAGTAAAAGCCAGTGTTGCAGATGTCTGTTTTAACAAACAGACCAAAAAAAATTAAGGATAATTTAATTTTCCCTTGAAAACCTGGTATCTGGACACCATTACACCCCCCACTGTTTCCATATTTAATATTGATTGTTTTAAAGTCTTTCTTCTAATTAATCTGCTGCAATCAGTGTGATTTAGCTAATTTGGATGCCATAATCTACCAAACTGATTCTCATAACATGAAGGCATTCCTGATTTTTTGAGTTAACCTGAACAAGACTGTATTTTCTTTCCATTTATTGCTACTGATCACACAATACAAGGAATCTCTAAATTCATGTTATTTGTCATGTCATTTTCATTTCAACTGAAAACACTTGAAATCTGGCATCTTTACTAATGGTAAAATTTCTGTTGTGTTTGTTTTTAGTCCAGCTAAAATATTAATAAAATCCAAAGCTGCAATGTTGTCAGTCCTGACCTGACATCTTAGCTTCAGTAGCTTTCCTCCTGCCATAATGTAGCTTCCTTGTGCTGTTTCTATAAATATCCCCAATCAAATGAGGATTTGGGATAATTTTGTGTATTGTAGATTAGATTTGAGCCTCAATTTCAGAACTTCTTTGGTACCTTGAGCATAGTAGTAATTCTGATGAGCTTTCCTCTTTGGTAACTAGACTTTATGAATTTAACCACAGTACTAGATTGCCAGCTACTCATTTTACAGTTGAAGTAGCTAATTAAGTTTTATGCTAACAGTTTCTTCTCTTGCACTTCTTGCTTGTGGAATTCACTTCTGACTTCTTGCTTTCCAATCAACTTTCATCTTCAAAAATTTAAATGCTGTGTTGATCATTATCTTATTGTCTTAATTCCTGTTCTTTTATTGTTCTGTCTTAATTGTTTTTCCTTTTTCTCTTATTTTTTTTCTCTTATTTTTTTCACTCAGTAACTCCTTGTTTTTAGTGACTTTATTGCTTTCCTTGGGGTGAAATAACTTTAAAAAAGAATTAAAAGCTAGATTTCACAATTTGAATCAAGAATACCTGAAAATTTCTTGTTACTCTTTCAGAGGCCAAAGTGGAATGTAACTTTAGATAATTTTCTTCTGTTGTAACATTAGCAATGGGTGGGGGTTGCTGACTCATTAGTCTGGTCATCACATGCTTTTTGTGGCAAGCTCAGGATCAAAAATCCTTGGTTATAGCACCCAGTTTCAGTATGCCCAGGAGCGTTAACTAGTTATCCTTCTTAGTTGACAGCATACTAATGACAAAGAAAACTGGAATATGTTACAAAATTTTAAACATTTATTTTAACTGTTGTTTACATGGGCGTTTCCAACTAGTGTCTGCTTTTCTCCAATTCTAATGCTTGACAGCAATATGCAGTCGTATAAAAACCAAATTGCTTTTTACAATTATGATGTTGATAGAAAATGGTCATATGTCTGCATGTTCTTTCTCTTTTCAAAGGTTGGGGGTGATAAACTGATAGTCTGTTCATTTACAGCTGCTTCTAAAAATGTAGATATACAATCCAACCCTTACCTTTCCACTGCCTGGCCAATGCTTACCCCATGTTGCATTCTGATTCTCAATCTTATCAATTTGCACTGAAAGCTGTGGAAAAACTTGCTTCACACTCACAATGAAATACAAATGTCATGTTGGAAAATAATGACATGAGTCCTGTTTCTCCATATATGTAGGTGTTTTATTCAGGGCTTCACCAGCTTTATCCAGGTGTGCAGGTAGATGATACTTGGGACAACTTCTGCTATGTCAGCTCTTACAACCCCACCCATCCCCTTGTCCATCTACTCATCCCAACGTGGTAGCTGACAATATGAAATGGAGGCTTCGGAACTGCATGGCAGACACATCCATCCCCCACTAAGGGCAAACCAGAACTCCCACCAATCCCAAGCATGACTATTAATATAGACCAACATCTGGATATACCCTATATCTGGTCTTGTTGCCACTTAATCTCTGAAAATCCTTTTAGTTCCCAATTGCATTTGATTAAAATGGATGCTGCTTAGTTCCTTTTGGTGATCTATTAAACAGAAACACTTGAGGTCAAGATAAAACCACCTCTTCACTTACAGTGTCAGTGTGTCCATCCATAGTATTACACAAACTACCTTTATCTCTTCTCTGCAAGGACACACACATCAATCAATCATGTGTTTGTATGATTTGACCACTCTACTTGATAATTCTGATAAATTGATTACTAAATTGGTAAGTTTAGCAAATTGGGTACAGGGTGATATACCCAATTATACTAAGCCATCTCAAAATTAACTTTTTTTTTTTTTTTTTTTTTTTTTTTTTAGTTTGCTTCTCATATAGCATTTAATAAGTATTGAAATTCAATCAAGCCTTTTGTTGTGTGTGTGTTTTTTTTTTTTTTTGTCTGTGGTTTTCCTTGATAAAACCAGGCCTTTCTACATTCAACTCTGTTCATTGACAGCTGGTAAGCCACTTTGTGACTTTATTCTCCTTATACAAGTGGCTTCCCACCTACCTAGTCAGCAAGTATTTTACAGTATATTTAACAAAAGTTAAGCCAAGGAGCTATCAAATTTAAAGCAACTTGCATCCTTTCATTCAGACTACTGGTCCAAATGGAAATAATTCCTAATCTAGAAAATTCATACAAACTATTTAAATCCTTTTTGAAATTAACTTTTTCTGGGTGTTATTTTAAATCATTTCTCCTTGGATTTTATATAACAAGTTATTTATAATGTTAACATTTTGTTTTTTCTTCATAGATGAGACGTGTGTTACGTGGAGAATACAATAACATAATTGATTCTTGTAAAATCATTGATTGCCGATATCCTTACGAGTTTAAAGGAGGACATATTATTGTAAGTAACTATAAATGTTTATTCTTTATTACTATGCATTCATGTAATAATTTACCAATTTCTAGGAAAAGTATTGAAGTTTTTCTTATAAAAATTTTAAAGTTTACAATATTGGTTTGTAAATTTTGAATTAGGTAATAAAATATTTTTTTTATCTCTTCAAAATATATTAATACTACTTTTTTTTCTTCTGAGCATTTGATGCAACATACATATGTTGCATCAAATCTTTAGGATTCATTGTCATTTTCATTTTGTCCCTTGATAGGATTGTATATTAATGTTAGTCATATCATTGTGAGAACCTGTTATTTTGGAATTAGCTTTTTTGATACTTTAAATACTAATAAGTTAGTGCCATAGCTGGTGATCCCCATTCTTTTTAATTGCTTGTTTCAACATGATTTCAAAAATCTAAAACTTATAGGTTGCTTTAATCTTTTTTCTTTTTCTTTTTTTTAATTCTTTAATTTACATTTAGTGGCATCAAATAATTTCAAATGTGCAACATTTCCCAGAAAAAGAATTAGTGACTAAATTACATTTAGTTGAATGTTTCAAGTTGTGATTAAAGGACACTTTTAAACCAGGATATTTGTGTGATGTAATCTTAATAAAATCTAGTCAGCTACTCAGACGATCATTTGCTTTCATCGTTTCACCATATATGAATTATTTTGGATCATTATCAAATTCACTAAAAGACCTGTGTCAATGAAACTTCATCTCAAGATATTAGCTACTGTCAAGCAGTTAATGCAAAATGTAATCTTCAATTGCTCTATTTTGTAAGTTAAATTATTTGGATAGGTTATTAAGACATTCCATTTTTAAAGTTTGACACTGTTATTTGAAATAATATCTTCAAATGGCTTTATTGAGAAATCCTTTGGTCACCTTCAGGTATACCAATTCAAATGTTAGTAAAAATCAATATTTTGAATAAAGCATTAATTTTTTATCTAAAAATTTGAGAAAATGTTTGGGCTTGTCTCATGCGTGTTGAATGGCATTAATACTTTCAGTAAAGCAATAAGATTTATTTATGCAAATTTTTCAAATTATTTTTTCTCTTAAAATGAAGATTTTTCATATTGAGCTCATTAAAATTGAAACGCTTTTTTTTTTTTTTTTGTTCTTTTTTTTTTCATATAGAATATAGAATGTTTATATATCAAACATTGTCTGGATCCTCAGATGTCTTTGTGTGAGCTAATCCGTTCTTTGGCTCTCATCAGGGAATTAAGATTTCAGGAAGGGGAAGATTAGTTTTCACAATCTTTGTTACTATTTTGTACCAAATACAAGTGCTATCTGGGATAGTCATACTGGTGGGAATTAAACTGATTTTGAATTTTGCAAAGTAACATGAAAACAAACACTTTGCTGGTATGTGAGTCTTGTATAGAAATTTTGAAACATTTTGTACAAAAAATTTAATTTTTTGACAATTCATATTTTGTTAAAGAATGAAGTAACCAACTAATAAACAATAATTAATCTCTTAACAATTACAAATTAAAATGTAAGGCAAAATCTTAATATCTTTATCCATAACTAGGTGAAGAATGGTTTATAAAAACATTGTAACCATACAAACCATAAGCAGTGATATGTTCCCTTCATTATACTGAGCTAGTTGATCAAATGGTTTTGCATCCCACTCTAGTAATTAATGCCTTTCTCAACAATAGCCCAGTTTCAGAAACCAGAATTTCACCTAAGAGAAGACTTAGTGTATCAGAACTTATGGTTGGAACACTTTAAGGAAAATGGCACCTTATATGCCTTTCATCTGAGTGCAAAAAAAAATTTTTTTTTTTTTTTGTTTTTTTTTTTTTTTTTCCTTTTTGAAAAAATTATTTCAAATACAAGGCAAGGTCAGTGAATTTAGTTTTGAGCATTCACTACATCTTTCTATAATCTGCTGTCATGTATGCATATTCAACCTAAGAAATGGAACCATGTGGTGTACTGATAAATCTACATTAGAGTAAACACTTCTTGGGACAAACCATAAGAATCCTGTGCCTCTCAAAAGAAGTTTAAACAGGTCTCTGCTGATGGTTGATAAAGGATAGATGTTTAGGGTGCATATATTGACTCTTCCACTTGAAGACTTTGATATGCTTGATCAATTTTTCTCTGGAAGTGAGAGACTGAATGATCCAGATACTTAGTATCTTGCATGGCCTGTCAGTCCAACTGAACTGGATAAAGGACAACCTGACCACAAACCTAACTGTAAACCAGCAGACTTATTGTTAATTTTCAGTCCAGTTAAAATGCCAGCCTCAAGCACAATTTGTAAAGGAGGTTGTTTGCTAGTTTCATTTTGCTTTGTTTTTCCTAGACCTTCAATGATTTATTTCATGCTCCATTAGGAGACCCTTGCACTTGTATGCAAGCATACACAAAGTTAACACAGCAAACTTCTAATTTTTAAGAGATTGATCCTCTTGATTTTTTTCTATCAATGTGCTCAACTATTGTTTTAGTTGTTAGAAAACTGGAAGATGATAAAGACATAGAAGTGAATGAGGCTGGTGATACAGGTTCTGCCTGAATGGTTGCATTTAATTAGAGGAAATTGTGTAACAGTTATTCCTGATATTTGATATATTGACTTTCTCTCGCTCTCGTTTTTTTTTTTTTTTTTTTTTTAGAGTGGGCAAAATGACTATACAAAAGAGAACATCATGAAAAATTTCCTAGAAAATCCCCCAGTGTTGGAGGATACGAATAAAAGAGTAGTTCTGGTTTTCCACTGCGAGTTTTCTTCAGAGCGGGCACCAAAACTGTAAGCATTTGATTTTTGATTTGTTTTCTTTTGTTTTGTTTTTTTTAATATGTTCAATCTAGCTTGTTTTACATGCTATTTTATGTAAAGTAGCCATTCTCTGTTTGCAAATCAGAATTAAAGAATTTTAGCTGCTACTAAAATTTTCAGGATTGTCTACAAGTTTTTAATGGTGTATGCATTCTCTTAGTCTTATTCACTTTTAGATTTAATAATTTTAGATCTATTTTACTAAGTAAATTTATCCCTTTTCACTTTTGTCAATATAACATGTAAAAATAAATTAATAGTGCAGTCTGAGTTTTTAAATATAAAACTGATAAAGGCGTCATATCAACAAGCTGAATGTGATCATTAGTACTGAATTTGATTCTCATTATGCTGTGCTTAAATGATTACCTTTCCGTTGATTTACTTTAGTCTTTTGTTAGTCATAGATAAACAATTAGTTATTTTTTTTTTTTTTTTTGTCAACAGAGCTCGTTTCTTAAGAAATATGGATCGATCTGCCAATAAAGATTGCTATCCTTCTCTCTATTATCCTGAAATCTACATTCTTGATGGAGGCTACAAAGCATTTTTTGAAAGTGGAACAGTATGTATTCATGCTCTTTTAAATTCTTAATATCCAATTATTGTTCTTGTTTGTTATAATAATAGAAGCCTCAGGTTCTTGCATGTGTAGTTGGGCTGAAATCAAAGCATAAAATCTTTTCTACAAGGTAGGGCTTTTCTTTCATACTTAAGTGAACTGGCACCTTGGCGCCTGAAGAAGGGTATAAAAGTTGAAATGAGATATGATGGCATTGGTCCAATTGTGTGTGTGTTTGTTTTTTTTTTTTTTGTTTTTTTTTTACAATGTACAAGGCTTGGGAAAACTTGAGGTAGGTTACTGAGTAAGAGGCATAGTTTATGGAGATGTGTAGGGCAGATAACTAGGCCCTAAATATGAGCAGGTTAAGATTGTAGTGGGAGGCATCATCTTGGGAGTCGGTTCTACTGAGCAGTAGTCTGTGGGGAAAAAGCTTCTCAAATGGAACTTGCATCTCACCAAGGGGATACAAACGAAGCTAGGTTAGTTTGCTACAATATACAAGGCATGTCAGGTCTTAGTTGTGAAGGTACAAACTAATGGGGCTAAAGAAAGTAGTTCATTTGAATATTTTCCATAGAAATGGCAATAGTAACAAGAGGCTGGCAATGTTTTGTCCAAGAAAGAGGTTGTAGGGTGGAAAATCAAATCAAGACACTTTTGGACTCTATTGAAACTTGAAAGTGAAGATTTGGCAGATCCTGCCCATATATGGCAGCAGTACTCCATTTTCAACCTGATCTGGCGCTTGAATATACCAGGAGGAGTTGGATACTTACTGGAGTGGTGCAGAGCGCTAACCATTTTTCCAGCATGTGTAAAAATTCCACTTCAGGTTTGAGTTGAGTTTGTCCCAATGGGCACTCAAGGCATGGTTCCACCCCCTAAGGAACATCTCTTCATGATTGGTGATAGTTCTGTCTGATCGGCAATGATGGAATGTCACTAGTTTGGTTTATGTGACATTGAATGTGACCAACCAGATTCATCCCCTGTGCTGTTAGAGCATGTACTACTGTACTGTACTGATGCGGCATTCACCCTGGGTGGATTGAGCCGGCTTCCTGTTATGAGAAGAAGATTCTTGGGATAAATTACAGAAGTAGGGTACCCAGGCCTACTCGAATAACGTTCTTGCTTGCCATGGGATTCCCACAGACACAGAGACAGGAACGACCAGAAGCCGCCCGGTTACCGATACAGACGCGCTCTTGGATTTTCACCAGAGCCCTTGTTAGCGGCGTGTGTGTCAGACCTGTCCGCCTTGGTGGCCCTACCAGGAACGAAGTTCGGGCAGCATAACTCTGATACTACCGTTTACATACAATGAAAATGTAAAAATTTTTTTTTTTCTTTTTTTTTTTTTTTTTTTTTTTTTTTTTTTTTTTTTATAACTTTGCTATTGTAACTTAATAAATAAGCAAATGTGGTAGGATTTGCCTCCCTTTTATTGGGCGCTTAATAAGTTTAGTAACTATTTGTGCTCCATGTGAAAATTTTAACTTTTTTTTTTAATTGTTGCTATTTCAGGAAATGTGTGAGCCACCCAATTACAAACCAATGTTGCATCCGGATCATTCATCAGATTTAAAACATTTCCGTGCAAAGTCCAAATCTTGGGCAGGTGAACGGGCTCCTCGAACAGGACTGAGACAATTAAACTTTTAACTTATATTCAATTGGTATTCTCCATTCATTTTCACGAGTGTTTAATACTTCCTTGTTTCCTTTTTGAAATCTGTCATCTGTTCTCACTAAATCTATGATCTATTATTTCTCTCTCATTTCTTAAATAAATGTGCATGCTGACTTCATCTCAAATGGGGAGAGAACCTTCTATCAAATTTCATAATTACCATTACACTCTATATTTGGATATTGTCATATTGTAGAAATGCCTTTAAACAATTTTTATTTTAAATCTTTTTCATGGATTAAAAAATAAAATATTCTTGTGTATGTGTGTATATATATATATATATATATATATAATAGTTATGTTCATAGCACCATACTTCTAATGCTACTATTCTGATTTAATAAACTCTTCTTGTTGATGAACATTGTATTGCCAAAAGTTTTAAAGGCTCCATCCACAATATTGCAAAATCCATTTTTGTTTTCTTTTCTTTTCTTTTTTTTTTTTTTTCTTTTTTATAAAACTCTATTCAATATAAACAAATGAAAAAAAAGTTAAGCCTGTCTAGAGACTTCTACTTGATTATAGATAGCTAAGGCATATTTTAAAAAATAAAATTAGGATGTGAAAGTGCCTTTTATTAAAGATTAGTAAGTTCTTTTTGTATTGTTGAAAACAGTCTGCTTACACACATAACTGATGTTACTTTGTAAATTTTTTCCCTAGAAAATTGTACACTAGTTGATTTATGGTTGTTTTCCTCACAGTAAACAAAAAACTGCATATTTTTGTGGGTGATTGATGCTCTCTTTATGATTAACATTTCAATTCACATTCTAACCACATCTATTGAAAATGTCTCCTGCCCAAGAGATGATCACTTGTTTCTTAGAATTCCTTTTAATTTACAAAAGTGAGTTATTTACAACACCAGATTTTAATGATTTTTTTCTTTTTTAAATAAAAAACCTTTTCATATAATGTTTAAATTAGAACAAGGAAGAGCAAAGATATCACAAATTGTTAACAATTTTTTTTCTTTCCTAATTTATTAAATGCAATTCTAAATTGGTTCTTGGCAGCTGAGAATTTTTTATAATTTGTGTGCAAGTGAATGCAGCTAAAAAGCAAAACGTTATGTAAAGAAAAATACAACTGAAATGATTCACACAATCATGTGTCAATGAAGCCAGAAAATACTAAGTTTTCTCTTCACATTCAAAAATAGTCAACCTAACCTATACAAACTTGTCAGTACTGAGTGATAAATTTTAAATTGGTGCAATAACCATTGTAACAAAAAAAAAAAAATGAAGAAAAAAGTAAAATTCTTGTAAGTTTTTTTTCAAAATTTCTTTAATTTTCACCTTTGATCCCTTCCCTAATGCATTGAATTTTCTAATTTTTAATCTTTCATGATTATAGTTTAGCTCTTTGCTTTTCTTTGGTTTCATCTTATATAATTTTTTTTTCTCAATAGTTGGAGTTCAATTGTAAATCAAAGAATCTTGGATGATTTACTAGTTTTGTAATTTTTCATAATTTGTAAGTATATAAATACTTCAGTGAATTAGCTGATTTTTCTAATATATAATGTAACCCATTTCTCTTTCTGGTTGCTATTCTTGTAGAATTCAGAATCTTTTCTTTTTTTCAAGTGAATGGTTCAGTAACTTGGAATGTTAAAATCAGATATGCCTATGTAAATACAAAAGATGAATTTCTTGCCTTTGCTTCCACTTTTTGTAATTCTGAGAACTGTAATTTTTTTTTTTTTCTCCAAACATCAATTTGAAGAGAAATTTTTAAAGAATCATGCATTTTAAAACTTCTAAAATTCTTTTTAATCCATTATTTTCATTACCAGCCTTGTTAATGAAAGCCTAGAGTAATACTTTGCTTGATAAATTGAGAAAATTGAATTGACAATTCCAAATTCTATGCCTTGAACATACATAGCTTTTTATAAATGTATGATAAAAAAATATCCTTAATTTACAAGGCTTCTAATTTAAATAAAAATATTCCTCTTTTACCTTATTTTCTATTCTTAAATTTTTCAATTCCCAGACTAAAACAAAATTGAAATATTGGGTTTTAATATTGCTTTAATAGTTTTATTGTAATTTAAAATTATTTATTATGCACATCTGACCAAGCATATTAATCTTAACTACTTATGAAATTTGGTACAGCTGTGTCTTGTCTAACCAGAAACTCATTTTATTAGTAATTTTTATATTTTTTCTTGTTTGATCATATTTTCACAAGTAGCTTTCTATGGTGTATGATTGTCTGTTCCAGTCTTGACTTTTTACGCATTGCTGGGAGAAGTATGGATTCTATTATTGGTTTTGAATTTGTCCTTGTGGTTGTCAACTAATTCCATAGAGTGCACTCCTTTGACTACCTTTACTCTATTGGGGAGAGAAATGAATTCATGCTTTGCCTAAAGACATTAGTACAACATAATTGTAATCTCGGCTAATGAATTTAAACTACTGATTTCACTTTTATAACGCATACCACCTACATCTCCTTTTTACATAAAATTTAAATGGTTCAATTTATAAAAGATTTTTTCCTGCAAATTATTTATAATTCATGGGTTGGCTTACAAGTCTTCCTTCTACACTTCTTGTTTGTAATAGACTATTTCTGATGTCCAAGTGTAAAACTGGTATTTTGGGCTACAAATTAATTTGACTTGAATGTATGCAATTGGTTCTTTCATCTTAATATGTAATATACATGTTTTAAGAATGCAATTGTAGATGGTGACTTGTTCAAAAGTAATAAAAGTATATTTAAATATACACTTTCTATTTGTTTTTTATTTATATTGGAGTATTTTAATTGAAACATAATGTTGATATATTTCATTATTAAGCTTTTAAAATTATTTTAAAGCTAAAATAACACTGTACATTAGACTATATTAGCAAATTTTATTTTCTGCATATCTCTTTGCAAACATTTTTAGCCTATAAAAAAAAAAAAAGCAGACCCTTGGTTTATTAGTTGCATTTATTTATAAACTTGCTGATTCTCCAAAAAGTTTTGTTTTTAACCTGAACAATGGAATTACTCATAACTTGTGTTGCACAAAATATTTATCTTTTTATGTATTAATACATTTTTTTTCAAAGATTCAATAAAGGAATGTGTTGAGGCTTTATTTCCGTCAGTGAGTTATTTGATTCATGAGAGAGAATTGAATAAAGTCATTGTTACTTTTTTTTTAACATTAAACTATCTTAGTTTCCAGTTTAAAAAAAAAATCTACCATCAACATAAAATAAAAGCAAATGTAATATTTTTGTATTACAAAAAGGAATGAAAAAACATTTAAGAATGTTTTTACTTAAATTTAATGATATATAATTATAATTCAATTTTAAATATTTAATTCAGTATTTATTTTTGATATTGTAAAAAAAAAAAAAAGTAAACAAAATTAGTCATTTTTACAGTGTCTTCAAAAGTTTTTAAGTATGGTAAACAAAAAAAAAAAGTTAGCTTAGTCACTGACTGAACATTTTTCTGTAAAATGTTCAATGTTCTTTTTAAAAAAAAAAAAGTTACACATCAAAAGCAAATTCTTTTTTATACCCTGTATATGTTCCTAAGTTTTTAAAAAAAAGTTTGTTTTTTTTTTTTTTTTTTTTTTTTTAACGACTTTTTCTTTGTTATTGATCGAACTGTAAATGATTTATTAAAATTAAAGAAAAAAGACACTTAATAAATACTATAAACTTAATGTCTACTTTAACAGATGTACATCTTTTCGAAGATGTTTTTCAATTTTATACTTTGAAATTTATTAAAAATAAATTACCATTATTAGTTTAATATTTTTTCTCTAATATTGTTATTTATAAAGAACAAATGCGTTCATAGAATTTTCTTTTATTAGTTATGGTAAAATAAACAAATATTAATGCGTATATTTTTTTAATTTTCCATTAGTGTAAAATAAAACCAAATATCATTTTTCAAAATTTATGAAAAAGCCATTTAATGTCATATGGATTGCCAAACCACAAGGCATTGTCTCAAAAATAGCCAAAGCCCTAACAATAACAATACTTATTTGTCAACTACATTCAAATTTTGGTACCATTGAAGTTAATGGAAAAATGCACCCCCCTCACCAAAAAAAATCCACCATCTGTATGGCCTAAGAGTCAAATACCAACACCCTCTGCTGTTCAAAGGGATATATATATATATATAAGCTCCAGTACTGCTTGAAATCAAATTGATGAAATGAATGCTTTTGAGAATTAGAAGATTAATTATACAAATTTGAAAGAAAGTCTAACAGCAAAAAAGACTGTCCAGTTGTATTTTGGGCTGAAAATATTTTAACTGTTCAGTTGTCAAAAGTTATCCCTCCCTTTGAGAATTTATAAAAATTTGCAGTTTGAAACCTTTCATTATGCAGTTAAGTGTTATATTAGCAGTCTGTCCAGGTACATAGGTTGACTTGGTCAACATTGGAAGAAATTCTGTTTAAATTCCATGGCTTTTGATAACATAATGTCCACCAAAATGGTTGGAATGAAATACAGCTCGTATATAGTAATACATGCTTTTGAGTACTGTGCAACATCATGGTCATTGTATAACAGATTAAGACAAGATTTTCAACTAGCAACATTAAGATGGATGACATCAAAAGTTTCAAAACTTAGCAAAAAAATTTTTCATTATCTGTATTTAATACTCTTAATGCCAGTTAAAAAAAAAAAAAAGTGGTGCATAATTCTCCATGAAGTATATATCAAGAAAAAGTTACTATATCATGGCAAACAACTATCTGTACTTGCTCAAACAGTACTTGGTATAATGTTGATATATCTTAATGGGGGGGTCCAAAATGTCTTACAAGATTCATTCCAATTTCAAATTTAACATTGACCTTTCAATTTGAACAAATTGAGTAAAGTTTAAGTCCATCATCTTTGTACCTGCTGATGTAAAGGCTATTATGTGATGGCAACTGAATAAATCATGCTTTTTGTAAATTATATCCAACACTCCTTGAAAAACCTTGGTTAATTTGCTTTTTGATTATATTCATCTGTTGAAAAATATTTTTATTTCACAGAAAAGAGAATTAATTTTTGATGATAATGAAGTAAAACCAGTTGCAAAATGGGCATGCTTTAAACAGTTTTGATTTAAATGAAATTTCCATTGCTCTAAAGCCTCTATTGTAAGACAACAATTTCTATTTTTATCTTTTTTTTATTTATTTATTATTTTTTTTCCAGAAAAAACATAACGCACTTCTCAGTTCGAAATAAGTGAAGATAAGAATTATACTGTCATCTTTATAAACAATGTTTTGGCCTGGTGGAAATACTCTTCAAATTGATAAACTACACAATTGACACTCTACAAAACTCCAAATGACAGCTGACTTGATTTTATCATTGAGTTTGGTAAAAATGGTTCTTGATATGGCTGGCAGTCAAGGTAATTGTATAAAACAGTCACACTGCTGCTACCATACTTGTAATGGAATTGTTAGTCTGTCAACACCTTTTAGCTACAAGCTATGTGTGCTACTTGGGCAATTTATAATTGATCCATTAGATAAAGAATTTAGGATCAGATGGTAACTATTTTATAAATATCCAACAGTGTATAGAAAAGCTGCGTATTGACTTTTGAAATCAGAATGTAAATATTGATGTTAAGCCAGGTCACCAATGTACATCATGTGATTACTTTGTCAAATATTTTGAACCTTCCTCCCAATCTGGAAATTTTAGAACCATCTCATTCTGATGAAATTAAAATGGCTCTTGTATACAAAGCTGGATATATAAGAAATGATAATCAACCCAGTGAATATGAAATCTATTTAATTTTTTTTTTTTTTTTTTTTTTTGTTTCATCCTTTTCCATACAATAAAGGAAAAGGTGTGTTATAAATCATTAAATAACATTTTTATGCTTATTTCTCAGTTTCATTTTTCAAGATGGAGAGAAAACATGCTCATATTTTTGCAAATATAGTTTTGAAAAAATTTTGCAAACATTACACACCCAGATCAAAGAAAGAACCAGCTTTAAAGGTTTTGAAACTTTCCTAGAATGATTTTAATGTCTATATTTCCGAAATGATTGTCATATACATGTTTCAGCTGATGTCCTTTAGCCTTCTTCAGGTACTGCATGTTGAACCCAGTAACTTTAATGGAAATTTGAACTGGACTGTTTATTCAATCCCTTAGGGGTAGGCTGAATAAAGGATTTGATGAGACCTGTAAATAGTGTGAATGTTTCTGTTCTGTATGCCATGTCTGAAACCTTATTTTGAGTATAAAGTTGGTAATTTTGTCTTAGCTGACAACAGCAATGAGTTTGCAACAAGTGCTTTTGCTTTTATGCTTAGCAGTGTCTTCTCACAATACAAAGATGTCTAAAGCTGAAAATTTGTCATGTTTAAACATAATAATTGGTCTAGAAGTGATAGACTTTAGGGTAATATCAGCCATAACAGATAATGTAATAAATAAGAAAGCTATATCTTTCTTTTGTAGTCCTGCAAAACTTTCAATTGTATATCCACATCCAGTTATGAAATCTAGACCTCTTTTCTTCATATTTGATACTATTAATATTAAAATGCATTAAATACAACTGGTTTGCTCAAAAAGATGCATGTTCCCAAAATTTTGTCATAATGGAAATCAGGATTTAAATAATATCCAAAGTGCTTCATTTTATACTTTACATAAGCTTCATGTCCTGGAATTTCCAGTCAATTTTTAAATATTGTTATATTTCATTAGTTTTGCAAATTATTAACCAATTCAATGTTCAGGGATTGCTGACCTTAGGGAAACAGATGTTTTCCTAACTTTGTTAAAGTTGCAGTAATGCATAAATATATTTTATACTTTGTAGACAATGTTGAATGTAAAATCCCCATATAAAGTTTGGTGGCTTAACAATTTCTATAATTATTTAAAATGTCTTTTATACATTATTTACTTTAACATAGCAACAAATCTTAAAATTTTAATTTTCCTTTAGAAAATAAAATTTATTCTAAGGTAAAACTAAGCTTTTTTTTTTTTTTTTTTTTTTTTTTTCTCTCTAATGCAATTGTAATATAAAATATATTCTAGATATAAACTTTATGGAATAATCATTAAAATAAAAACGGATTTTTAATCTGTTTGTTCATCCTTTTATTTATTTAAAGATGTAAGATAGAACTTGAATCTTTGCTTTTGTGTCTAATACAAAAAATTATTCTATCAATTTCAATTGTCAGTATTATAACTGTTTTTATAATATTGTTTGCTTTTTTATATAAATTAATATTGAATAAAGTTCTAAGATGAAATTCAAGCACACTGGTTTTTTTTTTTTTTTTTTTTTTAATTGTAATTCAAAAAGTATTCTATACTTAAAAAAAAATGTCTACAATCATTTTCAGCAGCCTCGCTTTGGCTTATACTATTAGGTTGGTGCAAAAATAATGACGTAATAATGTCTTTTTTTTTTTTTTACGTATTTTTAACATCGAAAAACATTATTACGTCATTATTTTTTCACCAACCTAATATTTGTGATGTCACGTTTAATTGAACAGTGGACTCCAATTTCATTAGAGGCCCTTAAAACTTCAACACCTAGCACTATTATAGAACCACAAATTTGGCGTTTTTTTTCATCAGACTGGTAACCCATTTTGCACCATTTTTCTGTTTTTAACAATTTTATAGCACATTTACAGAAGTGAAGTAGGCAGTCTACTGCATTTTTTTCCCGTTTTTAAAAGAAAAAGCAAATTCTATTTGAACTTTTATTTCACATTCTCATTTCACTAATTTCAAATTTGGTGGAGGGGGGGTGATTTAATTACCAGAATATACAGATATTCAAAATTTTGCTTTGGTATTTGCCGGATGATAATTTGATATATAATTAATTTTATTTATTGAATTATCAAAGATTTAATGGTATTTTTACGCTTCTCTAGAAAAGTCATCAAAACCATGTTTTTATATCGCAAAGCAGTATTGACCAGTCTTTTAAAAAATAAATACACATCATGATTCTACTGCTTTTGTTTCCGATAAAACATTGGAGTTGTCTTTTGTGAATTTTATTTTTTTTTTTTTAACTCGGTATTAGTCGCCTGCTGTAGATTCCGCTTGTATTAACAGCATCTTTTAAGGTCTCGAATGAAATAAAATCTGCTTTTATTGAGCATTACTTTAATAACTTTACAGGCAGTGCTAAAAATAAAATCCATTTGGAGAATGGGTCGGTGGAGAACTTTTCAGCAATTGCAATTTTCATCATTTGGTGTTCCATGAATCTGTCCATAAAGTTGACTTGGTTCAACAATATCTATTTCCGATCCTCGAGGCATGAGAAACATAAAATGTTTTTTTTTTTCTTCTTTCTTTCTTTCTTTCTTTTTAAGTACAAAGTTGTATGACAATCCAAGCTTTTGGGGAAAAATAATAGCGGGGAAGGTGAGTAAAGATGAGATTTTAATACAGAATGTGTTTTCTTTGTTTCTCAATACATTAAAATACCATCCACTGGTTTGTGGGGTGCAGAAGCTGAATATGTCGGCGCTCTGTTTTTTTCATTAGACAGAACAAGCAGTACAACATTAATGATGAAGCATCCAATAGCACCTATGCTGATGTAGAAAGACCAATCAAGAGATGCAAGGTTTTTCGATCGCCAACCAGCTTTGTAGTCATTGTCAAAGAAGATGTCTGTATTGTTGATACTAGTGTAGAATGTGATCACAAACAGAATGACGGCAAGAAGAGAACATACAACTGCAATGAAAGAAATGTATTTTTAAGCATTTAATCAGAATGGCTTTGTAGGTTGTTTCTATTTTGATTAATTGACATTTAGTCTAGATATTTTAACTTCTTTTTTCCAGACTTGACCGTATGCAGTAGAAAAAGTAATACACTTTCTTGTGTAAATAATTGTTTACAATATTATTGATGAAACTTTAAAATATTTCCATTAAAATTAGTAAATCGTTCTAAACATTTTTTTTAAAAGTTTTCATATTCAGGTAGCATGTTATAAAAAAACAAAACATTTTACTACCATGGAGGTAGTAAAATGTTTTGTTTGTGGTCGATCATACTTTCCTCTGAGAATTTAATAACTTTTTATATACTTTGTCATTATAATCTTTTTAATGATTAATTTTTTTAAAAAATCATTAAGTCTTATTGTCAGCTGGCCACAAGAGGCTATTTTTATTACCAAATGATCAAAAAGAAAACTATTTGATGACTGAAACAGGATCTGCCTATGGATCGCACTTCAATAATCTAACCGGTCCTAATCTTTACTAATATGCATCAGATTTATTTTAGAACTATTCTTTTGAAATGCATACATTTGTGACTATTAAGATCATAAATGTTATTTTCTATGATGTTTGTCGCTGCGCCAATACTGGCATTTGTTTCGTGAATTATTTCCTTTTCCGGATCTTTTTCCCTTTTCGAACTCACCGGTGAGACTTCTTGGATCTCTCTCTCTCTCTCTCTCTCTCTCTCTCTCTCTCTCTCTCTCTCTCTCTCTCTCTCAACAGAGAACTGTGTCCTTCTTCAGCAAGATTAGATAAGACGTTATACAAAACTCATACTGAAATTAATGAATTTATCTGATGTATGTTTTGAAAATCATGACAATAAGCAACACAATCTGCAATAATTCTTAATGTTATTTCTATTCTAGAGTGCTTTGGGTCAAGTTTGATCGTTATTAAAATATTTCATCTATTCTAGCTTCCTTCGGGTATCTGTTGCATTCCGTAATCTCGAAAAGAATCTATGTGTGCTATTTCAGATCATATAACCATTAAGTCTGTAAAGAAAGTTGTTGAATTTCTTTGCTGACTGATAGATAATCAGTTAGAATATCTGGTGCCTTCAATCGTCATGTTTAAATAATTGAGAGGCTTCTGCGGCATAACATTTAACGGAATGCTACATGGAAATCTCCAATTACAGGAGAAAAAAGAAAAGCGATTTAAGGTTTAAAAAAAAACAAAATAAAAAACACAGGAGTATAGCCTAATAAAAAGCGATGGTAAAACTCATCTGATCCCCAGAAGTTTATTGGTCAGAGCGACAAGGAAAAATTCCATATGACAAAGGAAATGTATTACGGTAAAATAAAAATTGTTCTGTCGTATTACTTATTAATATTTACTACATTAAATAGCTTTTCAGTTGCCTCCATTGGATTATCCAATGGAGGCAACTGAAAATTTAATATAATATATAGTATTATAATATATAATATGATATAATCATTATATTAATTAGTAAATTTTATCATCATCGTCAATAAACAATTCATCCGTGTATTTTGATTTAATTTTTTTCAAGACATAACGATTATAATCTCAATTACCTGTTCATTTTTACATATAAAGCATATAAAGACACATACACACACACACACACACACACACATATATATATCATAGAAGGTATAAAGCACAAATAACTTACGGGCGCAAATATTCCACACATAAAGGCCAAATGGACCAGTGAGCGTTTCGATGGGCTTTCCGAAAAGGTTGTAGAACGTGAAACCAATTGTTAGCAAACCCCAAGCGATAGCCATTGATAAAACAACAACATCGGCGATCCACAGCTTGTAGTTCATTAGGTGCATAGATTTAATGTCAAGGCGAACTGAAGAATGATGAATAAATGAACTTAGTTAATCATTTATGCACGTAGTCAGAGAAATAGGGAGCTAGGAGGATTGTGTTGCAATAAGTGAAAAATAAATCATTAAAAAATACTTAGCTTTTTACCTGGGTTCAAACATTGACATGAATGCAAAATATACAGCTGTTTCAACCAATCAGCAGGATAGGGACGAATAGATTAAAACTGAAGAGAGAGAAAAATGGACCGCGGACAGGCGGTAAAATTCCAACTACGAGAAGGGTTCAGTGTTGCTTCATAACTACTTGACACAAATAACTAAAATTCATGCAAAAGTAGGGTTTGTAATTAATGCTCTTGAGAGACAATAAAAAAAGAAATAAGGACTTTCAAATCTGTAACAAAAACAGCACATAACAGACAGCAAAGTCACATTTGCATCTTTTTAAAATTAATTGACATTAAGTGCGCCTAAATCAGAACTCCTTCACGGGAGCTTCCAAGTTTGCATAATATAAAGGGCACTAAATTCATCTTCAATAGGTTCTACTCAGCTGCCATCATGAATCTATATTGTCAGCAGATATGGCTAACTTCAGAGATTCAGTTTTCCAAATCTTTGCCTCACTCACAGATACCTTTTTCATTCTTTTTAAAATCATTTACAAACTAACTTCAAGCCTTAAATACAGAGTTTTCTAACAGTGAACAACCTTCAAAGTGTTTAAAATTAATTATTGACACATTCATTTTCATGAATGTTTCTGCCATCTCAGATAAACGTTTTCTGTATTATATTTTAATATTGATTTTCTACTATTGCATACTTATACTGTTTATATAACCTAACTCTTATACAACAATGAGACAAAATCTAATGTTGGAGAAGAGAGTATCTAATAAAAAAAGCACATTGTTGCATGCTTGGTGAAATAATGATCTTCACCTCTTTAATCAATGCTTTTATTGTTTATGAGCCTTGAATGATACAGTCTAGTAACTTGATACAACCAGATAAAGTATTGATTAACAAGATATACACTGCCTTAAAACTTTCAGTTGAAAATCATTACATTAGAGCTGTTAAAATCAAATCCTGACAAACAGGTTTTTCTTCTTAGTCTTCATTGAGAAACTAAGCAAAAATGCTCATTATTCCTATTTAATAATCAAAGATTTCGCTAAAATATTTTTCCTCCAAGACATTGGTTCTCGCATTTGCATTTCTCTTCTTTTGATCCCAGGTTTCTTTAATTCATCGTCCATTTTGAATTGTCATCAAGTGAATTTTCACTATTAGATTGACCTTTATGACCATAATTCCTCTCCTGCTCCAAGATTAACAAACAAATTTATCCTCTTTTATATTTTTATTGATCTGGTCCATTTTTTTATTATTAATTCTTAAACTTTGAAGGATTAAAATTTACCATGAAAACTCAGAATCTATTTCCATCTGGATCAATCTAAATTGTGATACTAATAAACAATGTTATAAGCAGTAATGACTCGGCTTTTAAGAAATTTTAACTTTGATATTTTTTTAAATCATCTTAACTACTGGAGTAGTAAGTGGTGTAATATTGATGGAAACAAAACAAAAAGTAGGAAAATACGTTATATGCTTTGCTATTATGACCATCATGCTTATTTTGGTAGTTTTACTCACATAATTTCGCCTGTTGTACCCTCTGGTCTTCCTCAAATGTTTATATCTTCTTGGAATTTCAAACTGAACCCTTTATTTACTCTACAGTCATGTAGATTGTCTATCTACCAGAGAAACAGATATGTTGTAACCAAAACTTTAATCTCTTATGGAATGTGTCTCGTGTTGAATATCTTGAACTTTAAACATATGCTCAGATGGTAGAACTGTATGAGTGTCCTGACTCAGGTGTTGAAATGTTTTTGAGTGTCCTTTCTTAATCAGTAGTACCACGACTCACTACTATATACGGCCCCACATTCACATTTCAGGCTAACTTCTAACAGGCTTATTTGGTTTAAAGTCAATTTATGTCTGTTTTATCTACATGTTAAAACTGTTCAAAAATACAGTTTTTTCCCTTTTTAAACTGAAAAATAATAATAAAAGGAAAACAAGCAAAAAAGTTATTAAAGAATTAAACAGTAATACAAAACAAATACAAGTAAAAAAACAACTTATCAAACAGCTTCTCTATAAATCAATTTTCTTTTGACCCTTTTTAAAACATTCTACAATATTTTTTCGAACTTCATCCGATGAAAACTTTCGTTTGTTGTAAATATATTCATAACAATTATTGCTTCAAGAGAATTCCTTTTTCAATATGTTGTTCACAAGTGAAAACATATTTTGGAGAATAAGTTTCCCAAATTCTTTCAGCAGACTATAGTGGGTCAGCCAATTTGTATTGGTTATAAATAGAAATAAAAACTGACCCTCTACAATTTTTACAATATCAAATGTAACAAAGACAACAACAAGAGAAATAATCAAGTAGAAGAAATTATGAATTTGTTCAAAAATAAATATTTTTTTATAAACACAACAAATACATAATATATATAGTGCAAAAGTTGATAAACACAATAGAGTTCTTTGGTATGTGTGTTACTGAAAGAATTTGAGTTACTGTACTGTATGTGTGAAAATGACAAGGTTTAGTTAGCTATATTTGTTTTTGTAGGAAAATTAAACAGATGTTTTTTTTTGTGTATTAAAAGAAAAAAGTATTGTCTTGACTCACTGATTGTTATAGAGTTATCGCTCATTAACCAGAGATTCTTCTTGTGGAATGGAATATTTTGTGGGAGTGAGCGTTAAGCCTGGAGATGGTTGACAAAGTTTGTTGTTGTATTGAAGATAAAGTTCGTCTCCTTTGCTGTGTTGATTTCCAATGAAGTCAAGTGAATTGGTTCAATATTTTAAGTGCCCACTGACTAAGTCGCGTCGAAGTTTCGTTTTTATTAGTTCTCTTGGTCACGTGGGGAGGCTCGTAAACATGTTTACATTTTATGACGTCAACTAGAGGTCAAAATTTGGGTCGGTACCTTCGGACGTAGTTGACGACACCCAATTAATATTTTACAACCAATCAAAATACATCAGTTGTTATATTTGGTTGGGAGCCTCTATGTGTTTAACTTGCACAAAATTTAAGATTTAAAAAAAAATATAGGAATCTGATTCTACAAGACTCTCTTATAGTGAATTCATTATCTTACAATAAATTTATCCTCATAGTCAAGTATAGCAAAAAAAACTTTGTCATTTGGTTAGATGGAACCTCCTCGAGAAAGTAAGTCAAAGTACTGCTTCTCTGTCACCACTATCATTGCCTACCATGGCCAGAGAAAATATTTGACATTGAAAACTTTTAATTATATTTTTTAATTCTCTCTAATAAAGAAAAAAATAATAATGGAATTTTATGTTGAGACGCACTGCGTGGTAGTAAGGTATAATTAGTTCTGCAGAAAATGAAGGACGACCTCGTGGTTGTAATTCTTTTAGAATTGAGTACGGTTGTCCTTCCATCACGTTTTTATGTAGTTTGGAAAATTTTCCAACAAGCTAAATCTTATGAGTTTAGTCTATGTATAAATAGAAATAAATTGTGTTCCATCGCACTCGATCTAGAATGTATTCGCATTGACCAAAACCTTCATGGTTTTGGTCAATGCGAATACATTCTTTAATAGATGGAAATGTGTTTCAAGGTCAAAGACTATTCAATACAGTTAACGAATTTTATCCATTTTTCTACGAGATTGGATTTTCCAGTAGGAAAAGAAAATGACGATGCTTTTTCACTGTTAGTAATATATCCACTAGAACAGCCAAATGGAACACATTTGTTAACCATTTTCGTTAAACAAGATATCACAACAAATTTTATAATTTAATCTTTAAATTCAATGGAAAGGTAGAAAGGTAGAAAACTTACCTAATAGAGTTCATTTGCAAAACGGGCCGTATACGCATTTGAAAATCATAAAAAGCCAGGTAACTCACAGCCATTTATAATTTGTGGATTGGTAAAAAAAAAAAAAAAAACAAATGTCTAGGGAATTGAAATAACGTCTGATAAATTCTACGTAATTAGACGTTTTTTAATTTACGTTCTAAGAATTCAATTTTTAAAGTTACCTCCCTTTTAGATTAGCATTTTTCTAAGTAGCCATTCACTTTTTTTTTCTTTTCTTTACATTACACCAGCCTGTTAGAATTCAGCTTGTTATGTGACATGTGGCACTGTATAATACTAGTTGGCCATAGTGGTACACATCTGCTAAGGAGGTTGCATGTGACTAACACGTGCACTGATTCTTTTATTCATTTTCTCATTCAGTGTCATTCTTTGTCTTACCTTGATTTCCTTCATTTCGTCACCATTTTCTTTCTATATATGATCAACCATTCCCGATTCTAATGTCTCTCCCCTCAAAGCGACCACAAGGAACGCTGTATATGTGTGATCACTTTGTGATGAATGCAGTTGAAGACTTTTAAATCATGTTGTAGAGGAAGATTAAGAATGGCTGCAGTTTACACTTGGTGGGAATGCGGGTGAGAACTTTCTAAAGAAGTTAATTCAGTACTTTCAAAAGAAACAAATGCCGCACATGTATGATTGTTATGCATATATTTTATATAAATAACATAGCCCAAAAAGAGAAAATTACATTTAGTAGTATATAGATAACTGAATGGAAGAAAGAAAAACGTCTATAGGCTTAGCTGTTACAAAATATAGAGGGTGCATGTGTGAGATGCGCCACTTGGTTGTGTTGAAATTTAATTAGTTGGATGTCCAGGAAAATGTCTTTCCTTGGAGAGGACGAAACGAGCGAAATAGAGAGTTCATGACCTTCCTTTTATAGTTCTGAACATTACCACTTAGCAGCGTCTTGGTAGACAAGGTGGAGTAATCGCTGCAGCTTACTGTAACGATGGGTCATAACTATGTATTCATTCATCTTGTTTTGGTGCAAGATCTGTGACAGCTTTCTCTCTGATTTCAGCATTGACT